ACTTTGTGAAAGTCTGTAAAATATTGTAAATTTATTTTCAATTTTTCAATAAAGACATACCATTGTGGCATGATTGCGGATTAAAAAAAAAATATATATATATATATATATAATTTAAGAAAAAAAATTTTTTTAAATTAATCAGTATACAAACGTTTAATAAAGCACACATACCTAGCCTGACCTAGGGTTATAAAAAAAAAAAATTTTTTTTAAATTAATTTAAATTTTATATAAATTTAAATTTTATATAAGCAACTTTTATTTTTAATGATTCTAGAATATAGATAAATATTATTGAAGAAAAGCTATTTATTTTTTGATAAAACATTTCAAATTTAATATATAGTACGCATGTATACTGTATCTATTATATTATGCAAGAAGATATGGAAGATACTAGAAGAATTGTATCCGGGATCGGCACGGATTATCATGTGACACGTGACCTGGGATATGGCAGATCGCGCGAACTTCCAGGAGTATTACTGCTATAGTTACTGTATTTATTAATAGTAGGGCATTTTCTTATTAATGTAATGATGATGATAATAACATGGTAATTGAAAAATTATTAAAAACAAGTCTAATTTATAGGATCCTATGTATGATTGATGAAAAACTTCTATCACATTTAAATGATTGATTTGGAGTTTATTTTATTTTTAAAAAAAAAAATTTTTAAGATTCATTTCATTACATATGTGGCTTTGTATTTATTTACAACGCGCATCGCTTTTTTGATCAGGCGTAGTTTAGTTTTATGCAAGAGGTTGCATATGCGTCCGTGGACGATCCCAAAAGTGTACGTATAAACAACTTTCCAAATCATCCCTTGTCAAACGGATCTTCCAATGCACTTGGCAACTTCTTCAGGGGCCAGAAATTAATATGTCAGATTCTAACTGTGCGCTGCATAACACAAGATGGATAACTCAATAGGAGTAGGAGTGCAGTGGGAGGTAGGCAAACCTGATTGAAGCATGCCAACTACCTTTTGTATATTTTCGCTCTCATACGACTCGCATGTGATCCACTCAGGAAATGGTAAAGTGCTCTGTGAAATTATTTTGATGGCACGTATCAACTATGAAAAGACAAGATCCGACAGCTAGTCTAGTCCAGTGTCCATTCATGCTTGAAGCCAATTGAATCTCGATAAAGCATCCGGTGATTATATTGTTCGTAAAAAAAAAAATTCCGTGTATCGTGTAAATCTCAGCCCGTTACTATTTTAATGCAAATTTTAATTTCTTTATTTCTTGAAGGAAACAAATCGCATAATTAATGTATTTAAGTAATTGTATTCGTTGAAATTCAGTAATACGAAAAAACCTACTAAAAACTATTATGATTACGAAGTTGTGTACGAACAAAATATTTACAATAGAAAAAGAATATAAACATACATATATGGCAGGTGAACTTAAAAAAGATATCATATAGTAAAATTTGGTGCAGTAATGGAAAATTAATCTGTCAACAAATAGCGATAAGTGACAATTTTAGAAAAATATTGCCGAAAATTGTCTCATTTTATCATGGGAAAAAAAAAAAAAAAAAAAAAAAAATTACAGCAAAACAAAAAAGAATTATTTCCAAAGATCGTGAAAATTTATATGACCAGCATACAGTATTATTGGATGTCGAAAATTCGCTCATTATTTCTCGACAATCAATAAAAAATTCTTTCTTGCATTCAATCGTCTTCGCTTTTTCGGTGCGAACGTTCTCAGTCGGTTAAATTTATGTCTTCAAGTGTTTTCACAAACAGCTGTTTCCCCAATTGTCGTTTGAGATTATCGTTTTCGCGACGGAGCATTTGATTTTCCTTGGTGATTTGGGTGTATTGATTCTTTTTAATTTCCAATCGTTCAAAAAGAATTGCGTCATGTCAATGAAGAAATAAAAGAAAAAAGTACCCACATAAAAATTTCGTATGTGATCTTTGATATTTGGAACCCTGTTTACCTTTAATTCCTCATTAGTCTCCTCTAATAGGGTTAGCTCCGTTTGAAGACTCATCCTTCGCTGCGTAATTTCCAGAATCTGTTTTGTGAGTTCATTCCTGTCATCCTTCTTCTAAAAAATATACAAGGAGGGAGGGATATGTTAGTGATCGGAATATATTTAGATAAGTTTAAATGACCGCAAAGCTTGAGATCAGATGAACCTTTTCGCCGAACGTTATTTCCACGGACGAACGACTACCGTTGGTACTTGATGAACCTCTTCGAGATTTTTTTTGTGAATCGTTCAGATCAGTCAGCTCCATGGTTAATCTTGAGATTTCCAAGTTGGCGAGGTTGAGCGCATCTTCAAGCTGATTGATTCTTTCGTTGAAATGTTCGCGCTCTAGATTCATTTCTTCGACCAACACCTCATGTTCTCGGCGTGTTTGTTCAACCAACTTAAAAAAAAAAAGATTTATGAATTTAATAATAGTATAGAATCGATGTATGTGCGAGTGTGAATAAGTGATAACAACCTTCTCTTGCCATTCATTAAATTCTTCCTCCTTCGCCGCTAACTGATCGGCCATTGCCTGCATTTGTTCTATAACAAAATTAGTGACCAAGCTTGCTTTATCGTCTTTCAAAGAAATTATTTACCTCGAAGTGACCTATTTTCGTCCTCGATATCCGCAAGCCTTGTTTTCTCTTGGGCGATCTCATTGTTCAACAGATCAAGTTTTGAATAAGCCGATCGGAGACCTTTGGACTGTAAGATAGGATAAAAAAAAAAAAAAATTTTTTTTTTTAATGAAAAATTTGCGTTTGGAGAAATCGCTTTTCAAAGTGAACATACCTTATCCTTAAAAGCTTTGTAAAGCGAGGTTATGTATTCTTTGAGCTTCCTTGGGTCATTCTTATAAAGAAGGTAGCGAATGAGTGGCTTTATCTTGTAATGTAGTTTAAGGAAGTCTTCAATATCTTTCATTTTGTCTTTATGTATATATCCACATATTATTTTAAAAAAACTCTGTTCCTGTTGCTGTATCTTATTGAGCCACATATTACCTACTTGAAGTATAGTTTCTTGATCTTTGTCTTTGACTTTCACTTAATCAGTAATATATTGAATCAACTTCCTACTTACTTCTTTCCAGATGTCTAGTCTTTCGAAGCTTGTTGCTGAACACAAGAATAGGTGATCAATTGTTTCTTCATAAGTTCCACATCTAATACAGGTGATTGATTTATAAACTTCTGGTTTTCACTTCTTAAGTATCTGTAATGTCGGAAGTTCATTGTGAGTAAGATTCACCAAAAAGCTTTTGTCCTTGTTATCCTTGAAGAATGTATACAATGTATGATGAATATTAAACTGGCTCCAAAAAATGGTCCAGTTTATCTTGGTTAATGAATTTCCGGATACCAATATCAATGGTCAGGCCTTTCCATATAATTATAGAGAAACTTGTACCCATTTCTGGTGTGTGTTGCCATTCTATTGGATTTTCTTTTCTAACTAATTTTGCTAGTGTATTCACCATATTGTTGAAATAGTCTTCTTTGTGTGCATAGACCTTTTCTAGTGTTAAAGTAAGGCTTTTTTTCTTAACTATATTTTTTATTCTTGTCCAAAGTGGCCAGTTAGCTATTTTGATCCATTTTCTAAATGACATAAGTGATTGTAATTGTATGGTATTCCATATTCTAATAGCTACTTTGCAATCTGTAAAGATAGTGACATTAGCATCTTGAGGTAGAGTGTAAAGTACTGTTAATATTGCTAGTATTTCTGCTCTTGCTGCTGAAGGCCATAGCAGTCCTCCTGCTGAGAATTGGTTGATGATGATATTGTCTTGAGTCTGAATCCAAGCGAAGCCCATTTGATATTCTGTTTTATCTCCTGTTTCTTTCTTAAAGGACCCATTGGTGTAGAAAGTAAAGTTTTTATATCCATTGTTTAGATTAAATCTAAAAGCATCGGTAAGTTCTTTAATATGTTCTTTTGAGCCAATGGCTTGCTTAATTAATAAAATATACCAGTTTTCTATTACTATGTCTTTACATATTGCTGCTAAATTCCAAGTGTCAGGTCTATATTGTTTTGAGTTGTTAAGCATCCAATCTGTTGGATTTCCTGGAAGCAAGAGTGATTTTCTTATCCGTATATTTTTAGACTTATTAAGTTGAGGTAGGAGAAATGTTTCTGAAAATGAGACTATTGTTGTCAGCTTGGATAGATCTGGATGACATAGGGTCAAATTATCAGTACTATTATAACTAAGCTGGTATGGTGTAAAGATTATATTTTCTTGAGCTTTCTTGACTTTTCTTATCATATTTTTCGATAGATTGGTAGTGATTCCTCAGTAAGTCTTCCTTTTGTCTAGTACATTTGATAATTGTTCTGTTCAGATTTCATAATTATATCAATCTAAATTTCTGAGAGAGTTTTTGAGCAAATCCTGTCTTTCTGTAACCTGAGAAACAACTTGCTTATACCATCTGGGAATATGATCTTTTCTATTTCCAAAAAATATTTGGACTGCCCCCATTCTCTAATTGTTCCTGTAGTTGAGTTAACCAATTGATCCAAGAACATTATAT